ATTTAAGTTACGAAATAAATGGTACTAGATACATTCTACAAACAGTATCAGATCCAGCTATTGATTTAATAAAAACTATATCTAGTAATGAAGAGCAAACTGCAATTAATATTACAGATGAAACTCAAACAGAAAAAGAGGAAGAATCAGTTTCTTTAGTTTGCTTAGATGGACAAGTTTATGCATTTCAAAATGGAGAGTTGCAGGAATTAGATTTCAGTCAAGTCATAGATCAAAATGAACAACAAGAAAAAACAGTTTTATTATCTAAAGATATTGATAATTGTGAAGCTCAGTACATTGCTAATGAAGATTTAGTAATTAGAAACATTGACGAACAATCTCAGGAACAATATGAAGTTGTTATGGGACAAAATGAGAAGAATTTCATTGTGGAGAAGCAGAATGTAAATGCTAATGATTTTGTGGAAGTTGTAACAGCATTCAAGTGTAAAATATGTACTTATACAACTCAAGACAAAACACAATTATTACAGCATTTTCAAAAAACACATGTAAATCCAAAAGTCGATGTTGAAGTAGGTTTTTCAATTATTCTTTACATTTATGCAATGTCAACAGTGATAGTTCAATGACTATGTTTTCAGATAAAAGAAGAATTTAAAAATACAGATGAAGTAAAACTGTTGTATATGTGTGGAGAATGCTCTAATTGTTTTCCTTCCATAGAAGATTGTAAAGAACACATGATAAATGTAATTATACAAAACGTTTTACTATAAGAAAATTTAGTTCTCATAATCACGAGTTAACAAATTTTAGGATCATCAATTAACAGATACAGGTTCTAATAAAGGTGGCAAAGAAAATATAACGGATGATTCAAAAGATTCTGTTTTACTTGATGAGTGTATGGGACAGAGTGCTGAAAATAATGATATAAAACGTCAAGTAAAAATTCAGAAACCTTTAAGTTCTGAGTATATGCTCAATAAAAAAATGATTGAATTGATGGAAAGAAATATAAAGTAAGTGAACTATTAAACTGTTTAGACTGCGTATTTCTACTTAATTAACATTTTATTTTAAGATGCTCATACCGAGGATGCCCTTACAAATTTGCTACAGAGGAAACAATGCAACAACATGCTCTTTGTCATACAGAATCTCAAAGTGGTACAGCATTTAAATGTACTATGTGTCGAGATTTGAAATTCACTAAATGGAGACAGTGTAGCTTACATTTATGGAAAAAACATCAAATTGGTTAGCATTATGTGTCAATATTTAAAAAAATAACAGTTTTAAAAGACATTGTATCTAAAAGAAAATTTCTTTGTTAGATATAGGTCTGTTTACTTGTAAAATATGTAAAGCATACAAAAGCGCAACGATGGTGAAGCTCTTGACTCATATGAGGGTGCACAGCGAGACACGAGAATATGAGTGTTCCGAATGTGGTAAATGTTTTAAACAAGCCAGCCAGTTGCGTAATCATAGAGTAATGCACTTGGATCGTAAGACACTAGAAGTAACGCGTTGGTATACCTCAAAAAAATGCGACATGTGTGGAAAGACCTACGCAAACTCTAAATGCCTGAAAAGCCACATTCAAGCAGTGCATTCGAAGTTGCGGCCATATGTTTGTAATGTTTGTGGGCATTCTAGTGCTAGGAAAGCAATGTTACAAATGCATTTGCGTCAGCATACAGGTGACAAACCCTTTAGCTGCGACCTTTGTGAATATAAGACAGGAGACCATAACACGTTGCGTCGTCATATCATGCAACACACGGGTATACTTTTATAATACTATAAATAAGTAAATACGGGTATCCCTCACTTAACGTCTATTAAAATCATTAGTAGGTTCTGATAATATGTACTCCGAAGGTATCCAAGAATTAATGGTACAAGAAGAGATAGATGAAACAAATTTGGTTGAAATAGTATCTGAGATCAACCAAATTAATTCAGAGTTGAAGATTGAAAATTTTATTATCCTATGCTTTGTACCAGATCTTTGTTTCGAATAGCATCTATTATACGAGAAATACCTGTATTAAATAATATAAGTATGCATTTATATTATATATGCAAATAATTATTACAGGATTCAGACCTTACAAATGTCCTCACTGTTCTTATACTGCAATACAAAGTAGTAGTTACAAAAATCATTTGAAATCCAGGCATCCTCTGTTATCTGGTTTATTCACGTGTGATTTATGTCCATTTAAAACTGTGAAAAATGAAAGTTACATGCAACATGTTAGAGATCATGAAAAAGGATTAATCAAAACGAGCATGCAGAAGAAAGGTATAGTCCAAAGTTAAATCTAATTGCCATCATAGGTATTAATTCTTGCTTTCTTTAGATGGTGAAAATGTTGAAGTTTTTCCCGGTAATATAGCAGCGGCACAATTGATTTATAGTTGTTTAGGAGCCTTCTCGAAAGTTGGCGATACTTTAGAAGCGAATTTAATGTCTTCCTCAACGTCTGCGGACGGTACATCACAAACGATTACAATACAAATACCGTCGAAACACCTTGAAGGTTCACTGCCAACGAGAGAAAATGGAACAAAAAATAATTCGACGATAGAACAAGAAGATGAGGAAACGATGCATTGTTTCTTGAAAATTCCAAGAGAAGAAGAAGAAAGTATAGATACCGGAGGTATAACTATTCCAGCAGAACCCGAGGAATCGGGTGCAACAACAATTAATGTGGATACGTGAAAATATAAGAAGCTAAATTGTCGAGAAAGAATACTTCTATACTTTTGGAAATGACAGAAATTTTAGACGTCGAATGTAAATGAAGAAATGCTAGTCACGCGTTACTTAGATGATACAAATTAACTTGTTTCTTTTTTGATAGAAAAAATCTAGATCTAATGTTTTAATTTAAAAAAAAAATACTAATTGTGATACTATTTTTGAAATTCTATATCGTATTTGCGACGAAACTACTAATATTCCAATTCTATTTGAAAAAAAGATAGAGTAAATTTTTTATGTTACTATATAAAGAAACAAAAATGTATAAAACCTTTAATTACATGATAGCATCAGTTATTTCAGAATCGTAAAGTCAAAACTTATTTTGTCTCCAAATAACTTTTTACGAATCGAAAATGTTTAATTTTGTAGTTGTTTTTATATTATTTTTATTCAAATTATAAAAATACATTGNTATAAAACCTTTAATTACATGATAGCATCAGTTATTTCAGAATCGTAAAGTCAAAACTTATTTTGTCTCCAAATAACTTTTTACGAATCGAAAATGTTTAATTTTGTAGTTGTTTTTATATTATTTTTATTCAAATTATAANAAGATTAAAATAATATTTTACACGATGGACGAAAAGAGAAATGTTCTGGTATTTTCTGACTTATTTAGCCATCAGGTAAAAATAACACTTATCATTAGTATGGAAGAATGAATTTAAGGATTTCCAAGAGTGTTCATATATTAACTGTTGAACTCCACAAATATGTTCTCACAAATTCAGTTTCCTATATCAATTTGCTTAAGTGTACAAATTTCGTGAATAGTAACTGATTGATCTATAAACATATTATTCATACAAAAAATCCAATCGAAAGATTTTAAAAATATATTGGTAAATTATAGTATACAACTGATGTCGTTTTTATATGCATTTTGTAAGAAGGTGTTAAGTGAAAATAAAAGATACTGCTTCTCTCGGAGTAGCCTAAGCAAATTGATACGAGTTATTATTTACAGCTAGTGATCCAAGAAATGTGAGAAGCGTTTTTTCTTTTTCAAGCAACCGACGGGATCTTCTCACAAATTACACATCGTATCACAACTAATAGTCTCTGGGCAGTTCGCCATAATAAGCCATTAATGCTATTAACTTCTTGTCAAGAAAGTGTTGCTCCACTTCTATACCACCACCTACTCCGGCTAACATGGCAATCTGCAATTTATACATAACATAAGAAGATTATTAATATAAAATACATTATAGACATACAAATATTCTGGCTTCGCAAATTACCTGCATAGTATCTACATTTCTAGGTAGAAAGTAGGCCACATGATCTGTGATTTTTTTTGCTATTTCAAATATTTTTATTCCACCAATAGGATGCATAATGTTACTGAGATCAAAAATTTCATTCTTAATATACTCAGGTCCTCCCCATGGAGGACTTAAGAATACAACATCTGCAACTAGCTTTGGTGCAAGTTGAAGAAAATCTCCAACAATAAATTCTATTCTGTCATCAACGCCATAGACTCGCGCGTTGTTTCGAGCAAGTTCAATTTTAGCAGGATCTATGTCGATTGCCAGTACTGAAAAATCATATAAATGTATCAATTTAGTCCAATAACATTAAATATATATAGACGTACCTCTTTCACACGCAAAAGCAAACTGAATGGCATTTCCACCTGCGCCACAAAATGCATCGATGATAGTATCACATCTGCACCTTTCAGCTATATACTCTGCAACTTTCTCCGGAGTTACAGAGTACCAACTCTCTGGAATAAAGGTTGCAATATAAACATTTTAAATATAAAACAAACATTAATGAATCACTTGAATAATTTTGTTTACATTTTTGAATGGTAAAATTTTCAGTATTTGATATAAAGAATCGAAAGACATACCGTGATCCAATTTAATGCCTTGATCAAATTTGCTGAACAGGCGATACCTTTTTAACCAATATTTCATTAAAGTCTTGTCATTTGCTATTTCTACTGGTAGACTTATATTTCTTTTACATTGCTTCCTTCGCTTCTTTTTTTGAGTTTTCTTTACGTTATCTTCATCGGACAATTCCATAGTCTGTATTTCGTTGTGATTACATTTTTCATCTACATCCATGTTAACGTTTGCTGGATCGACTTTTTCATAATCTTTTGCGGTCTGGTTTTCTAATGTACATTTAGCAGAAATGCTTTCATCTTGGTCAAAATATACATTGTTATCCTCTTCGATACTTTTAAAAACATCATCTTGTTTGTCAGATACGTTCCACGAGTCACTCGCATCGTCAATCTGTCTTTTATCTGCTCCTGATTCTATCGAACTTGTGCTCGGTTTACTAAATACAAGTCGTCTCGTCTGCAGCTTTGTATTAAGACTAGGATTGCACTCTTCATCAGAACTTGATGTGAATTGTGCTTTATAGGAACCATCTTCAGGAGGCTGTAAATCTGTTTCTGACGATGACAAAGCTGGACAATACGATAAATAATGTTTTACCTGAANAGTAAGATTAAAATAATATTTTACACGATGGACGAAAAGAGAAATGTTCTGGTATTTTCTGACTTATTTAGCCATCAGGTAAAAATAACACTTATCATTAGTATGGAAGAATGAATTTAAGGATTTCCAAGAGTGTTCATATATTAACTGTTGAACTCCACAAATATGTTCTCACAAATTCAGTTTCCTATATCAATTTGCTTAAGTGTACAAATTTCGTGAATAGTAACTGATTGATCTATAAACATATTATTCATACAAAAAATCCAATCGAAAGATTTTAAAAATATATTGGTAAATTATAGTATACAACTGATGTCGTTTTTATATGCATTTTGTAAGAAGGTGTTAAGTGAAAATAAAAGATACTGCTTCTCTCGGAGTAGCCTAAGCAAATTGATACGAGTTATTATTTACAGCTAGTGATCCAAGAAATGTGAGAAGCGTTTTTTCTTTTTCAAGCAACCGACGGGATCTTCTCACAAATTACACATCGTATCACAACTAATAGTCTCTGGGCAGTTCGCCATAATAAGCCATTAATGCTATTAACTTCTTGTCAAGAAAGTGTTGCTCCACTTCTATACCACCACCTACTCCGGCTAACATGGCAATCTGCAATTTATACATAACATAAGAAGATTATTAATATAAAATACATTATAGACATACAAATATTCTGGCTTCGCAAATTACCTGCATAGTATCTACATTTCTAGGTAGAAAGTAGGCCACATGATCTGTGATTTTTTTTGCTATTTCAAATATTTTTATTCCACCAATAGGATGCATAATGTTACTGAGATCAAAAATTTCATTCTTAATATACTCAGGTCCTCCCCATGGAGGACTTAAGAATACAACATCTGCAACTAGCTTTGGTGCAAGTTGAAGAAAATCTCCAACAATAAATTCTATTCTGTCATCAACGCCATAGACTCGCGCGTTGTTTCGAGCAAGTTCAATTTTAGCAGGATCTATGTCGATTGCCAGTACTGAAAAATCATATAAATGTATCAATTTAGTCCAATAACATTAAATATATATAGACGTACCTCTTTCACACGCAAAAGCAAACTGAATGGCATTTCCACCTGCGCCACAAAATGCATCGATGATAGTATCACATCTGCACCTTTCAGCTATATACTCTGCAACTTTCTCCGGAGTTACAGAGTACCAACTCTCTGGAATAAAGGTTGCAATATAAACATTTTAAATATAAAACAAACATTAATGAATCACTTGAATAATTTTGTTTACATTTTTGAATGGTAAAATTTTCAGTATTTGATATAAAGAATCGAAAGACATACCGTGATCCAATTTAATGCCTTGATCAAATTTGCTGAACAGGCGATACCTTTTTAACCAATATTTCATTAAAGTCTTGTCATTTGCTATTTCTACTGGTAGACTTATATTTCTTTTACATTGCTTCCTTCGCTTCTTTTTTTGAGTTTTCTTTACGTTATCTTCATCGGACAATTCCATAGTCTGTATTTCGTTGTGATTACATTTTTCATCTACATCCATGTTAACGTTTGCTGGATCGACTTTTTCATAATCTTTTGCGGTCTGGTTTTCTAATGTACATTTAGCAGAAATGCTTTCATCTTGGTCAAAATATACATTGTTATCCTCTTCGATACTTTTAAAAACATCATCTTGTTTGTCAGATACGTTCCACGAGTCACTCGCATCGTCAATCTGTCTTTTATCTGCTCCTGATTCTATCGAACTTGTGCTCGGTTTACTAAATACAAGTCGTCTCGTCTGCAGCTTTGTATTAAGACTAGGATTGCACTCTTCATCAGAACTTGATGTGAATTGTGCTTTATAGGAACCATCTTCAGGAGGCTGTAAATCTGTTTCTGACGATGACAAAGCTGGACAATACGATAAATAATGTTTTACCTGAAGCATTCAGAATAAAAGCATTATTTTTGTGTAAATACTATTGTATTAGATATTATTTAAAATCCAATTTACTTTATCTATAGTATTAGTGATTTCCATTCCGTTATCGTCAAAGTAAATATGCTTGTTTGTATACTTGGGCCCATAAAACTTCATTTTCAATTGCCTATTTTGTGATCTAATATTTTTCTTTCTATAAACTACTTCCCCTTGTAATTTTAATTCCTTGTGGTTTTCGTTGAAAGCATAACCCATTAATGAAAATGCCTTCTTCACTGTCTCTAAACGTTCCTCTCCATCATCACAGTCAATCTCATGGCTAAAAAGGAATAAAATAATTTTCATTACTATGAGATTATTTCAATATAACAATGAATACACTACCTTCTTTTCAAGGTTACAGGTTTATCTTCGTGGGGCTTATCGCCATCTCCTTCGTTAGAATAATTTCGTTTAATACTATTATTGCTATCACCGTGATTACGAATAATTGCACTATTATCGTTTTGTGTAACCGCAGACTGATCATTTTTTTTATCTCCAGAAGAGCTTACGTTCTTATTGCCTTCTTTATTTTTACGTTCTTTGCCATCACTGTCATCCGATTTGGTTATCAAATTTTGTACGAATATTCCTACAGACTCCATAATTAATCTTTTCTTTCTTGTCTTTTCTCGTTTGCAATACGTAAAATTCTTGTTAGACACATTAATTTTATTAATTGTATCTGTTTCCGTCAAATCCTGATCCACACTCCCATCGCTTTCTACATTCTTGTGCTGTTCGCAAAAACAGTCGACACTTGGATTAGAATGTTCCGTTTTATAAATTGCTATGAATAATTCATAGTGTTTGTGGTACTCTATTTGAAAATTTTCCTTCCACAAATGTTGCCAGTACCTATCATTGTCTTCTGGTGTATATTCATGATCCTGCTCGGAACTAGTGCTCGTTATATTGCTTTCAATGGAACTAGTTACAGAACTGATGAGACTAGATGAATGCATAGAGATAGAGTCGCAGCTAGAACTAGTAAGGGTCATTTTTGTAACATTGGTCATAGAATCTGATGTTGCGTTCGTCTTAGCTATCGACTCGTTAATAGAATCGCATCTCGTTAAAAGTCTTTCGTTTTCTGCGTTGGACTGTTGATTGTAGCTTTCTTCTAAACTAAACGGACTCAACGGATTCCAGCCTTCTCCAGTTTCAGGCGGAGTTTCAAGACTTGTTATTCTTCTCCTATTTTCTTCCGCATCTCTATCATTGATCTCCTGCTTGTTCAGATCGTCGAATGAAAAATTAACGCTGTACGTATCCTTCGCTTTAATTTCGTTACTGTCTGTACTATTATGTTTGCTAAATATTCCTTCAAAATTTGAGCGTCCAAGTTCGCAATTTCTGTGCGCTTGACTAGGAAAACATGTGTTCTGTTCCGAATACTTTTCTATAGTCTCTTTCGTTTCTACTCTCTCATCTCCTATTAAGTGAGCACTTTGTTGCAAGTATTCTGGATTTATATAATCTGCATATTTTCCGATCCATGACGACCAAATTAATTGTTCACCATTCTCCGACCAATACTTATCCCATGCAATGTCCATTGAACTCTTATTTTGTTGATACATAGAATACGGATAAGCTTGAGAATTATCACTGAACGTATTTGAAACATTTTTGCTATAAGTCTGTGCATCATTTTTCGAAGTGTTTTGTATTTCTGAATCATGATCTCCCAAAATAAATGATGGGCTTTTTATATGAAATTTCTTTTCGGTACAATTGGAGGGATTAATACTTAAAACTTTAATGTTTTCTGCAAGATGATGATCCGATGAGTGAATGTCTGTTAATTCGGATTCGAATTCTATATGCTTGACTTCCCGAGTCTCTGGTAATACATTCACTTTCTCAAATCCATCTTCCAGTTCAGTCTCTGTAGTTTGAAAAGTCTTTCCATAAGATGCCAAAAGGTTTTGTATACTTTTGGCCTCATGTTGATCATGATATTCAGATAGGTCTGCCCCAGAATCTGATTGATGCAATCCTAATTTGTGAGTAAGGGAATGCGTGGCAGGACGATGAGCAGAGTCACGAACGGAGTCATGTTCATCTGTGGAATAATTGTTGTCCGTGTGTGATGCACTGCAGTAACAGCTCACTGGTTCTTCCTAATTTCAAGGAAGGAAAAATATGTGCTTGTTGAAATATAGATATAACATATACAAATATGTACACACCATATATATGCTATATAGTCAGATTAAATGGAATTAATTAAACACATTAGTCTGAAAAAAGACAATCTTACATCATGCTTCTCAATGGATTGTGCTTCTATAGTAGACCTTTTATGAAGATGTAACATTTCCCCAACACAATCAGCCTCAACATCTTCACCTGCACTTGCATCTTCTAAAGCAACGACAGAATATATTTCTGGATTTCTAAAAGACAAGAAAATAAAAAGTCATATCATAAATATTTAAAAAGAAACAAAAACGTGAATAAAACATTTATAGCAATCTTGTAAAACTCTGTAGGTTGTTAAATAATAGAAAGTTTGAGTTTTCTATAACAAGATTTTATAAAAACAGTTTACATAAATATTTTTTTGACAATAATGATTAATTGTTGATTTCGGTATAAAATTATATTGAAATGTTTGATTCAAGTTTTCTAATGACAGCTTCTAATGATCTAATCAGGATATATAAATGTATATTACAAAAGTTATTATATTTTCCATTTGCAATATTTGAAAATGTTTCAAGTAGATCTAATTAAATAACTCCACATTTCATGTGCAGATTTAACAAAATTCTGTAGCCTGCTCGTTGTATTTGCTAACTTTCACGTAGTGTATTGTATGTGTTTTCAGTAATATCCTCTACAATCGGAAAAAAGAACAAAGAAACGGGTTTATTAGTGTTTTATTGGTACAAAGAATAACATTTAAACGAGTAGGCAATATATGTATTCGTTGTTACTAAAGATATCATTTATTTCGACGAAGAAAAATATATATATTTTTTTAAATGTAACAAAAAATATATCGTGACCCTAGGTAGTTGAGTGGGTGTCAAGGTTAGGTCATGTGTCACATCACTGATCGATAAACGTTAAGATTTTTTCTTTCACAGGGGGAATTAAATTAGTACAAAAACTGAATGAAACAACGAACTTGCGACAATAAAAGAAACATCGAGTACATGCATTGCGGTTGTATTTACCGAATAAATATTCTGCTGCAAAGACAATAAATGTAATTAACAGGGTCAGAGAACTCTGTCTGTTCCCCGATGTAGACGTTGGCCAATGGTTCCCAGTAAGGGTCGTTCATGCCGGAAAATCTCTTTAATTCCTTACTCCTTTGAGAATCGTCACAACATCCACATGTCTCGCGCTCAGATTTTTACAACTCCCCCCACGTAAAAACAATCCGCCATTTCTTCAATAGCACACCATCGCGAAGTTGTCTGTGGTTATCATTGAGTTTAATGGTTGATCGATAACTATCGATATTTAATTCATACATTTCAAAAGTGTTACAATTGTTTTTTTCTTATTACAATAATGAAAGAGAGTACAAGAGTGTTCACACCCGGATTTTCGATGCGCCAAATTCTGCACAAACCAGATGCTATAAATTGCAGGGATCTGACACGTTTGGTTCCACCTTAGCACGGTTTAGAATCTTCACTTCCACGTTAGCATGGCTACGAACCCAAAAGTTTCACCACCTGATTTCCAACTCAACTAATACCTCGTTTGTTTTTATGCAAAGAATGAATAAGACTGTAGTCTGTGTTTACACCTCGTCTGTGTACTTCTCTTCTCTCTGCGATATAATTAAGAAATTTGTACGCAGGAAGTGTCAATCAGTTTAGGACACCAACGGTAGATAGCATCACATGTCGCTTTGCACATTGTCGTCATTTGTCTTCGCTGTTTGTGTTGAATTGGTATCGGGCAGTATCGGACGCACGAGGGTGAACAGCACTGCGAAAAAAGCTTCATCCGCGTGGGTCCGTATCGTAGTTTCCCACTTTCCATTGAGGAATATGGCAGCCAAAATGAATTATTTCGATCCGCCGAGTTCCGCGAGTTCCGAAAGGTAAGCGATACTTAACTTGTCAGTTCTTTTTTCAATAACAAACTGTTGGATTCTTGTTATTTAGCGAGGATGGAGAGGTTTGTTTAGGCGATCGGGAAATAAGCCTCGTTGATGATCTCAGCGAAGATGCTGAACATTATAAACGCTCTGACATCGGGACAGCAACGCCGCAGTCTCCCCGGCCGCCTTCCACGGGTAAAATAATCCAATCATTCATTTCCTCTGATCATCAATAATTTTCAAATATATTATTGCGATGTCCCGTTTTCACTTTCTTGCAAGTGTTGGTGTTTAATTGATACGTATGTTTGTAATTACATCTATGATATGCCAATTTACAGAGCCAGTTTGGAGTACCTGTATCTGGCAGATAGGATGCAGTTGGCGCAATGAAGTAGAAACCTTGTGCAATTTAAGGATGAAATCTAAGATTCCTAAAAGTATTATTCCTGGCTACCTTTATTCCTTCTTATTTTCCTAATTTCCTTATCAATGCTATCTCTGACTCTGTTCAATAATTTATGAGATTTGAAGGATTGGTTCATAGCTTTTCTAAGAATTAAATTAGATATAATCTTGTTCTTCTACCTTCTAATTCTTTGGTAGATTATGTCTGCATGCTTTAATGTAAGTTGAGAAATATTTTATAACGACAGGTTCTCAAATTTCACCAAGGTCGCGGAGACAACGAACTACTAGCTTGTCTCAGTCTAGCAAGAAGACTTCCGCCGAATCCATCCTTAGAAGTAAGACAAGAACAATATACACAGCAGGTAGACCACCATGGTACAACTCGGCTGGGCAGCAAGTAGAACCGTTTGTAATAGGTTGGTAGTATTTATATGATGTATGTATCTTTTAAAGGATGCTTGAAATTAAAAATTGCCTCATGTTAGGAATCTGTGGAGGCAGTGCATCTGGCAAAACCACAGTTGCAACAAAAATTATAGAATCTTTGGATGTACCGTGGGTAACATTACTCAGCATGGATTCATTTTACAAAGTACAGGAAGCTGTCATTCCTTATGGAAAAAGTTACATTAATTAATACTTACTATAGATAAATGTTGTCATCATTTATTGTTGTTGCAGGTATTGAATGAAAAGCAACATGAAATGGCTGAACGTAATGAGTACAATTTTGATCATCCAGATGCTTTTGACTTCGAGCTCCTTAAAACAACATTGCAACGTTTAAAGGAAGGCAGAATGGTGGAAGTTCCTATTTATAATTTTGTAACACATTCTAGAGAAAGTAGAACAGTAAGTAGACATTTACAAACGCGTAAGATTTAGTATTGAATTTGTACTAAATGTATCGAATTTTTGTGTCAAAGAAAACAATGTATGGTGCCAACGTAATTATATTTGAGGGAATATTGACATTCTATGATGTCAATGTTTTAAAGGTAAGTTATCGCATTGCCAGGAGAGCATGATGACAGAAGTGACGAGCCTGCAAAGGTACGAGGACAAACAGAATAAAAATTACTACCGTTCCGCTTTCTTTGATTGGTCAAGATGTGCGACGTCAAGGTATTCGTTGATACCGATGCTGATGTAAGGCTTGCAAGGCGATTACGGAGGGATATATCCCAAAGAGGAAGGGATTTAGTGGGCGTTTTGAAGCAGTACAGCACAATGGTGCAACCAGCTTTTTACTATTACATAGCGCCGTCAATGGTTCACGCGGACATTATTGTGCCGCGTGGCGGAGACAATGAGGTTGCGATAGAATTGATAGTACAACATATACACACTCAACTGCAGCTCGTAAGATCGATTGTTTCCTAAACAGCCACTCTTTTTATCGTTTTTAACTACAATTGCTTCTTATTCTAGAGAGGTTTCAAACTCAGAGAAAAGTTAGCACATTCATATATTGGTCAACCATTGCCATCTTCCCTCTACATGCTTCCGGATACACCACAGATTAAGGGTCTGCATACCTTTATAAGAAATAAGGAAACCTACAGAGATGAATTCATATTTTATTCAAAGCGTTTAATACGCTTGGTCATTGAATATGCGTTATCTCTATTGCCCTTTGAGGTTTGTATTATCCAAGTATAATTACTAAACATATAGCAAGATAAATTGCTGTTGTTGTGGAAGTATGGGCAAAAGGATTGCGGACGACAGCGATGGAACAATAACGATATAATGTGCTGTCTGTTCAAAGGATGTAACGATAGAAACACCTCAAGGAGTGCTATATCAAGGGAAACGTGGTGCTACGGATAAAATATGCGGTGTATCCATTCTGCGAGCTGGTGAGACCATGGAGCAAGCTGTTAGGGATGTTTGTAAGGATATTAGAATAGGGAAGATACTTATACAAACGAACCAGCAGACCGGAGAGCCCGAGGTACTTCTATTTTCTTATCTTGTCTCGATCTGTTATAAAGATGTTGATACATGTTACAGCTGTACTACCTTCGATTACCAAAGGATATAAAAGACTACAAAGTAATATTGATGGACGCGACGGTGGCGACAGGTGCTGCTGCCATCATGGCTATCAGAGTTCTCTTAGACCACGATGTAGCCGAAGAAAATGTGTTGCTGGTATCATTACTTATGGCAGAATCTGGTGTGCACTCGGTTGCCTACGCTTTTCCACATGTTAAAATCGTCACGTCCGCCTTGGATCCTGTGGTGAACGAGAAATTCTATGTTCTACCCGGTATCGGCAACTTCGGCGATCGGTACTTCGGAACTGAACCATCCTTAATTGAGAATTAAGGCAACTTAAGGCGATTTAAGTTCTTCGGTTATCGTTACTTAATCCGTTTTACAAAATGAACGCCGTCGTTTCGAATATAATTTATAAACTTTATGTTACGGGATGTGTGTATATGTACCGTTTATGTCTTGTGTCTATATGTGTTTGTACAAATTAGTTCGGTGATTGGATCGTATATTTATTATTTTTAACAGCGATTTTACATAGCGAATTAGGCATTATCAAAGTGGCGTCGTGTCAACGTTAGAACGGACATCGCCATTTTCAGCCGCGGCTACGTTGCTGCGTAATTGTTTGTAACCGCGGGCACTTGCCCGACGGGAACGCCGCCAAGAATCCAAATTTCCGGCAGTGATGTCGCTCGGCTGATTCAAAAGATGCGTGATCAGTCGATCTAACGCTGCCAAGTCCTCGCTCGTGTTACCAGAATTTCCTAAACTGTCCGGTGGTCGAAAACTGTCCGAGATGATTCCTTCAGTGTGTCCAATATTTGTAATGTCACTCGCACCGCTGACTTGGAGTCCCAATTTTGGAGTAAACTGTACCGAATCATGATATTGTTTTAATTTCGTATACACCTTGTTGAAAATAAAAGATTTACCCTGTTGGTGTTAAACAGCTTATTACTTGGTGCTGAGGTTTTCAGTATTAAACATTTGATATTGTTCTCGTAGAGTCAACAATAGTATCGTTCTTCTCTTGTAACACTACACTACTATACTCTTCTAGTAGCGAATATAACGGGTAGTTTTTCAAAATCGAGATGGGACGATTTGAATTTTGAGTGTCTGCTTCGGGTTTCAAAATAATTATAGTTACCTGTTCAGGACCGTGTTGACCGTAACTTATTCTCTGTACTTTGCGAAAGGTCTCGTCGTTGATGGCTTCGCGGACTGCTTTGTTCAGCGTTTGCTCCAGCGCCCGTTGTTTGGTTTTACTCAAACCGTCATAGTAGCTACATGAAATATAACTTTCTTGTTCACCCGATCGAAATCTCAAAGTCGTACAATTGGAACGTTATCATAATTCAGTTCCAAAATTATTATAAGCCGCTCAGACAAGCAGCAACTTGTGCAGAACTTTGACATAAAAAGTCGCCAAATTCTTACAGGGTGCGACGAAATATCGGAGCTAAAATTACAAATATCCTGTACTAGTCTTGCAGTACTATATATTGTATTAGTATTGTTCTGTTTCGTTAGTTTACTAAAAAAAACACGCGTCTACATTATTTCAGGGCACCGTGTAAAACAATCTGGGAACTCGCGTCGAGCTAAAACGGACCGAACGCGAAATTTAATCTAGCTACGGTAGAAGCGATATCAAGGTTAATTTCAGTCACCTCGAATCCAGGGAGCTGTTATCTCGTGAAATATTCTTATCACGGACCAGCCGGATGTCGTGTTCCCAGAATCGGCGTAATTCCGGCGTGGACGTGTACGGGGCAGCGACTTCCTTAATCTGCGGGAAAACCGCGAGTCGGTAATCGGTCTGAGAGGAACGGTGGATTATTCAGTGCGCCGGAGCGAAATGGAAAAGAAGCATTACAGAGATTGAACTCGTTCATGGGCAGGCATTACCGGCAGTAGCCGTTTGCGTAATGACGCGGCGATACCAAGTTCTAACATTATAGTGAGAAATTACGTAGCATGATTCTCGCTATCTCGCGCGGTGCGGTGGATGGAGAGATCCTGATCTCGTGGGCGGGACGGCCGGTCGACTGTCGTGACCTTACTCACCTTCAGAACTATTATCGCGGTGATAAAGATACATATCACGTTGATAAATGTCAAGCACGCGCTGATTATGCCGTTGCAGAAGAACTCGACCGGCAGATAGTCCGTGTACACGTAGGTGTAGGACGTGTTGTAATCCGTGTAAGACTCGCCCTTTATGTGCGGTATTTTAACCGGCCGATAGATCAGCCATATGCACCCCAGTGCCCAGAACAAGCCCTGCGAAAATTTCTCTTATCGTACCAAGGCGAGCACGGCGGTTGTAAAAACTTTACGACTTCTTATAGATTAGTTGGTTGGCGCGACTATTATTTCTGTGACTTATTACGCCTCACTCACGCAATTCACCACGGGGGGTAGCAGGGAAGCCGATATGGCGACTCCAATCAGAGGTCCATTGCTTCCTTGTAATAGAGCCACGGCGACACCGGTGCCAGACGGAAGAGCCCATAACACACCCATCCACAGAGACCTGTAATTGCCCCTGCGGGAAGTATGTTCGGTTGTAGACTTCACTTCCTTCAATATTTTAATCAAGGATCGGAATAAACGGGGATCTTTCGTCTTTAACCGTTTGAGTCCCAAGCAGCGCGATCGCGCTGTTCAGATCTTGTGTCGCGGATCAAACTTTAGCGACACGCACGTACATCGCATAGCTGCATTTTCTCATTTTCTTTCTTTTTGTTTTGTTTGTCAATCTTGACGAACGCTATCGCGCCGCTTGGTTCTCTTCGCGATCAATTAAGACAAGCGCTATTACGCTGTTCGCCACTTTTCGACCGTGTTTTCTGAACAACCCCTGGGACTCAAACGGTTAAAGAACTTTACTTATACTCTTGTCCCTGTTAGCAACATGCCGTCCGTAGATCTTAGATATGATTCTTTTGTTTGACGCCGGCATGATAGCTTGGAAATTTTAGATTTAAAAAAAAATTTCGAAGATGGCGGTAATATAAATTCCTAAAATTAAGATTAGTCATTCAAGTATTTTTGTACTTAATTCTTAGTTAAATAAGCACAATGCTATAAATTAGTTTGCTGCCTTTTAACACCTAAGAAATATAGTTCAAATGTTATTTCAGTTTTTTAAAATGGCACCAAAGTGGTACCACCGGCATACAACAGATAGTTTTTGTATGACACCAGCGTGGTGCCACCGGACAGCATAGTGTTAAGAACCTATCTATTCATTTTTCATCATCCAAAGCCAAGCACGAGTAAACTTTAACCCGCATAAATAAATATCCGGAATATCGATTTAACGAAAAACAAGGAAGTTACCTAGCTTTCATCTCATCGGTCGGCCAATCGCCGTACCCCCAAGGCATCTCGGTGGTACCCAGGAGTAGACCGAATATGAAACCAAAGAGCATAGATAGAAATATGCCCAGCAATAAACTCTTGATTCCGATAAATTGGAGATTCCTGTCCGCTATAATAGTGCCAAAGGTTACCGACATCACGGGACCCTTGAAACGATCGCAGACATGAATACTTTGCTGCGAAACAACTTTGAAATCGGTCAGGATGAAACGTTACCATTAACGGAGACACCAACATGGCGGCGACGACGTTTGTCGCGCTATTCTCGACGAGACCCAGGGCCGCGAGACAACTGTAACGAATCGCGAGGATAATCGTCATCCACGGTGAAGCTGAAAAATTTGATAGTTCTTACTCCGCCGTGAGCACCAGCAACACGTAATCGAAAGTCAAGTCTCCTCCGCTGCGGACGCCGTCCACGACTTGTTTCACCGTCAATTTTGATCGTATCGACTCCACGAAAGCTTTCCAAGCGTTCTTCCTATCCTCCGATTCCTTCCGCCTGAAAGTTTAAATTGCAATTTTCTGTATCAGTCCGGCGATGGTTGGGTCAAGTAATTCGGCTTGCCGACGGTGACCTTCGTGCGAGATCGTCCTTAACGGTGGAACCAACGCTGCTGATGCCGCTGTACGTGCACTGCGTCGGAATCACACTGGGAATCGTTTAAAATTGGATCAGGACGTTTAGTGAAAATATTGCGTGGCTTGTTTCGGAGCAATGTTGGGATAAGTCACCTTACTATGGAGTTCATCTTCACGCCGATCCCCATCTCCGTGAGACAGTGCAGGCAGTTCTCGCATGATTCTCCAGCGGGGACCGGAAATATCACCTTCGCACGAAGACGAACGATATTTAACCGGAAAGAATAACGACGAACTATTTTCTTACCTCGTAGTACATGTCCTCTTTGTCCTTGCACCAAACTATATGCTGAACTTTCAACTTCTTCAGAAGCTCCTCCAAAACCTTGGACGAACATAGACGCGTTTTAGTAAATGCTTTCGGCGACAATGCCAGCTAAAATGGTACCGTATCGTTGGTGCTATTACCGTTTCCATCGAGACGAAGACAGGGTACCTTCCACGCAGACCGGAAGTATCGTATCCCCGAGCTCGAAGGTACCTTTTGCCGCCGAAGCCATCGGCAATATCAACACCATCCGCGTCATCGTCGTCGGCGAGCGTCAACAGTTGCGTTTTCGTTTTCGTTTCTCTGAGACGCACGTTGACTTTCGGCACGTCCACGGCTTTCTCCGATTTTTCATCCCTCCTTCCGCGTTTCAACGGCACCCCGAAGATTAATTGATGCTCGTAGCTGGTTGTCGGTATGCAAACTAGAAACACCACGCCGCCTGGCATTCTATTCTCAGGGGATTAATCGGTCTGGATCACCGATCTCACGGTTTCGCGATCTAAATCGTCACTCCGCTCGGACGAATCGCCGAGCCTCGAATAGATCTTCCGAGGTATCAAATTTGAATTAGCAGACCGCTAATCGCTTTACTGTGCCGTACTTAATTGACGGGACTTCGCCGTCGCGTCAGGTGATACTTTTCGTGCTTTTTACCGCACTTCGAGAGTCGTCGGTGAACTTTGATTTCGATGTTGAAGTTTCGTTGATTGTCTCGAATTCAAAGTAATTCATTAAAAACCTCCAATTTTCTCAGGGCAATCAATCTTCCGACAAGATTTCAAATTTTTCTGCAAATCTAAGTGAACATATCGTATAGCACGATTTTTTTATATTAAAAATTCATTGATTCCATTGATATGTTTATTAATAGAAGAAATCAAATCGGTCAAAATGACTGGTTTCCGATTTTTTCTTTCGCGATGAGAAATTTCGACGAGAAATTTTTGGATAAACTTTTTTATTCCAGTCTTGCCATTGTTATAAAACAATATATGTATTTGGTTATTAAGAAAGAATGGATGTTACAAAGAAAAACATTCCCAAGCGATTCTTGCTCTCTGCAAGAAATGCAACAATTTCTATTTTGCATAAAATCAGTCTAATGATTGCATTTAATTTATCTTGCACGCGTGACACCGTATTTTTTTGGTATCGGCGACGCTGGATGGCGCCACTATCCTCTCTTTCCGAACGAAGTTGCGATTCCGAACTATTTATTGAAGCGATGTTGCCGTTTCTACGATAACGTTCGCTGTGGAAAGGGCAGGCCAAAGGAAACAGACTGTCCATTTTACGAAATAAACATTTATTTTAACAAATCAACAGCGTAAAGTCTAGCGTCTAGAAACTAGTCCGACATCACGTCCGACCTAGATAACTAGAGGCCACCAGGAATATCCCGCGAAAGGAGATTTTGATCTCGTTCCGAGATTTTCACGAGAATTGACTTTTCTTATATTTTGGTTAAAAGCGCGTGATTTCCAGGGAACTGCGCGCGAAAGGAATACTCTCTGATCGAGAGAATCCTAGGAGAATCCTAAAACCGATATCACACTATTTCATATTTACTATCCAACGATTACGTTTAAGAAGAAAGAAAAAGAAAATGAAATCTCAACGGTGTGCTTTCGATTCAATTCCATAAAGTACGTAGTCGTGGCGATCGCCAACACGAAATCGTCTTAAATTAGTCAACAGTCCCGGGGGCCTCAATTCTCATGAAAATTGGAAGTCTGATTTCCCTTTACACCCACTCTCGTTTTTAGTCGCATACCTCGACACGCCGATGCCCCTTCGAATCCCGTGTCCAATAAATGATGGTAATAATACGTCATCGTAATAACTTGCTACGTTATCCGCTATGAAAAGTTCCTTTATTTACATACGGTGTTAAATGGTCGCTTTAGGTACTGAGCCTACGACTTTTTTTTTCTCCGCGCGACTGGTTTCTTTTTTTCTTTTTTGTTTATTTTCTTCTCTTGTGCTACTTGAGACTTTTATCCATTTATTTACGTTATCTCGTAGTCCTCGTCCCCGTAGTCGTCGTCATCGTCGTCGCCGTCGTCGTCGTCATCATCATCATTACCATTATTTTAGTTTTAAGGCCATATTTAAGGAGAGGAGCGTTTGGACAACTCACATGTGTCTGTCGCCGTGAAGGACTACGACGATCCTCGGTAGGATGTCGTTCTATTATACAGGACTTGTTCTTGCGATATGGAATTACATATGGAAAATCGATGCTAAAAGTTTGTGTAAATGATGCCGTATTCGCAGATTCGAAATATTTCGGTAGAATTTGTTTTTGAGAAGTGTCGTCGTAGAATATTCAATCAGAATATTCATTAGAACGATGTTTCGTTAATGCACGAGACGAATTCAAGATTTCACAGAAAAATAGAGCTGATATAATTGCCTAGCGAGATACTTTTAAGAGTAATCACGTTTTACACAAACTCTTCTCGCAACCTCTAATTGTCTCATTCTAAACGGAGTTCCACGCACAAGGATAAATCCTATATAAACGATATTAAGATATACCCATTCTGTCGATCCTCGAGTTTCTGTACGAAGCATACCGCTTCGCTATTACGTTCTTTTCAGAGATTGTTCTCGTGGATGATCCAGCGAACGGTCATGCGAGGATCGTCATTCGGAACGTGACCGTTGACGAGCACGCCTGTTGCATTGGAAAATTGAGTTGCCTGCAGAGACTCTTGCCTTACCTAATTCCGCAACGTTTCCGAATAATGCGATCCAACAAATTTTCTCTCGCGCAAGTATTCCGGACGAGGGCAATTCATTGATGATCGTAATCGAGACATTATAATACTTTTTTTAATATATTGAACATGATATTTTAGCTTTTTAAATACAATATACGGCAAAAGTCTCCGTAGGAACTCAACGACTGAGAAGATATGTCACCGGAAAGGAGATATTGAAATTCCTGCAGTCGAGAGTGCAATCTCGTTGCACGCGAGAATTTAAACCGATCTTGCAGTTACATTTCGCAGAAATGATGCTGATATTAAACGATCAAATCGCGCATACATTGCACATGTTAAAACAAAATATCTTACGATAATTTTAAATATGCTAATAAGTTCGTTAAAAAGAAAGAAAGACCACAGACGAGACAAATGCTGTTCCAGTAGAACTTTATCCTTTGTTTAATCGCACTCTGAAGTCTATATATTAACTTTACCGTTGCATACGCAATCAACATGTAAAGCCTGATCGATCATTAAATTATATAATTTAACCGTGTCCAATTAACGAAGCTTCAAAGCATCTGTACGACACGTTAACGAAGAACACGCAAAATTCTTAAAGAAAGTATAGTAAACGGATGCCTAGAGATCCATTTCATTGGCTTAACTCACATTTCGTTCACATTTGTCACGGTGTGAACAGCATCTAACGATATTCTTTTATCTCTAATCAACTGATAAGCCAGTCGGAAAGCAATCTCCGCAATGAAAATTCGACGAGATCGCTGTACCCGCAACAGGAGCGTTCAATTCTCCTCGCCGAGTCTGCAACGTTGCGCCTCGATGGCGCGTCTAATTCTAGGCTCGCATCTACGAACTGCGAAGCAAATCGCTGGTTGATCTTCGGCGTGACGGTGTCTCTTGTTGTCTCTCGGGGGAAAACGAAGAAGAAGAGACTACAGCTCGTCACAGAGTTTATCAGCGAATCTATAGCTAAATCGGAACATTGCGAGACAGCCTAGCTCCGGGCAATCACAACTACTCCCGATCGTGCTGTTTGGAGCGTCTTTAGCGTCTGTTTGGCAAGAACTTCGGACTGTATTTGAGGCATCGATTACTGCCAGGCAGTCTCCGCTACTTCGATCGTGCTGCTTCGAGCGTCTTTAAACACGCGTCAGGCAGAATGAGCCGACGGTCAATACGAAGCAGTAATGGTATTAGGATCTAGAGCATCCGCCGTAACTTACTAGACTAGGATCTTTGACGATGATCGCAAAGCAGCCTGGCGAAGCTGCCTCGCAATGCTCGATCGTAGCTGAGAGCGTGTCGCGGAGGCAACACGGAATCGTGACCTCGCGTCTCGCGCCATTAAAAACCGCCTTGCTCGTCTCTCACTCGGACCGGAAGTGGGCCGGTCGCCGCTAGGATACTTCTATGAATCTTAAGGCCACGATACCAAGTCTCGTCGGCGATCATCGCGAGAGTCGCGCGGGAGTGCACGCGGTGTCTTAGCCCGACACCCGATGAGAAAATTCGGACCTAGGAAATGGTGCACGCGCTCCCCCGGCGGATCGATCATGTCAGCACGCGGAGAAGCTGAATCGCGCGCGTGTTCCGCGCTCGTGCAGAGAATGTGCATTGGAAATGAACCACGGAAAACCAGCCGTTCCCCCGGTCAATCGTGTCCGACCATCGGTCGCGCGTGGAGGAAATGGTATCGGTTAAAAAAATAGCTTTCTCTCTGCCTCTTTTTCTTTCTTCCTCTCTCTCTCTCTCTCTTGCTCTCTCTCTCTCACTCTCTTTCTCTATCTCTCTCTCTTTCTCGCGTCCTCCCACGTAGTGCTTTCCGAACGATCGAAAAGATTCCTGCGCGGTGGTCCAAGTATCAAAAGGATCGCAGCGTGTAACACCGGTCGGTGTTTCCCAAGCCCGATCGCTTCCCTCGAACGACGCCTACCCTTCACAGTGCCCTATAAAATTAACGGGGTTGGGGTAGCGTAGACGCGGGAAAAGCAGCGAGAGCTTCGCCACCGGAAGCTGCCTTCGAACAAGCTAATCTGTCCGCAGCCGCCTAGCTTCGTCTCTGATGAACCATTGGGGGGGCGGGGACCTTCCTCTTCGTGTGTTCACAAAGTTTCACAAAATATACCGGCCACTAATCTCTACTACTCTTTTCAAACAATACGACGGGTCGAATAATCTAGGTCGGGTTCCGTTCGACGGAAAATAGGACCAACTTCGAGCAACATCCAGCCACTTCGTGCTGGGATCACCGTGCGTATGCCTCTCCCGCGTCTGCGCCGATGGCCCCCTCGTCCCGGAACAAAAATATTCATCTCTCAAAATGGAAAACTAGCTACACGCCCCGGCTGGGGCCCGTTTTTCTGCGTGCGAACGAAAGCATCGGTAGTCAACGAAGATACTTTCCGTCGTCGTGGTCCTGCATTAGGAGAGGCTGCCGGTGCGCCATGTTGACGGCTGGCTTGTCCTCTCGACGCGTGCTAGAACGGTCGTCCTCGAAAGGGAGCGCCGACCGACTCGGGCTGTTCAGCAACTGTTTAGGAGAAAATCGCTGGAGTCGCGAGCTAATTACGCGAGCGTAAATCTCTCAGACGGGCGCGCTGGGTCGTCGCAGGAGAGACGAGAGTAACGAGCGTCGAGGGGGCCGCCTCCATGGACGACGCAGCCGGCGCTCGTCCTCCGGGTAGGACGACGTCTGCTCCTCGACGATCCCCAAGGGTCAAGCTTTCTCTTCGTCCTCGTCGATGTCTTCCGACGATTCGGACGAGTCCATGATCAGGGCGGTCGAGAGGCTCGGTACCTGTGCCGAGTAGGGGAACGAGCTCATCCGGTACTTGTGCGGCGGGTTCCAGCACTCCGGCAGGGAATGGGAACCGTCGTCCGTCACCTTGTCCGACTGCGACGTCTCCATCGTTCCCAGCTCCATCATGGACACCCTCCTGGTCGGACCCTTCCTGCTGTCTGGAATGACCAAAATCTTCATTTATTGTTAGAACTGCACGTTGTCAATCACAAAGCGTTTTGTTGTTCCATAAGTTTGTACCGCGAATACGCTTATATATGTATTTTTACGGCCAGCTTTATGAAGCTGAGCGATAAGCGACCGAAGGGAAAGAGTTTCAATGATCGAATTCTGTCGAGAGGAGACATTCGAGGGGGAAAGTTAATGGATATACATATAAGATAATAGAGTCGGTTACTGTGGACTGACCTGACCAATTGCTGTGCTTTTGGTTTATTTTCGGGCGCATGTCGAATTTAATATATGATATTAAATTTTGTTATTCTTTTATTATGTTTATTTTTTAATTGTTATTATTCTCTTGTCTTGTTTATTCTCGAATAAAACAATTTAAGGGATTTAATGGGTAGTAACTGAATTCGAATAGCATCTGAGCTGGAAATTTTTACAATTTATATTCAATCAGCACTGCTAATAACACTGCCACCATTTTACTTCCCCAAGGACATATACATATATTGTGGTTCAAGTTAGGCGCCATGAAGATACCTTCCTTTATACTCTTTGAGAATTAAACTGGATCAAAGATGGAATTTACTTTTGAACAAAATCTAGGGAACTGTTGATGTAAAATTAGAAATTGAGATAAAAAAAATCAGCTGTACTGCTGCTAGCTGTATTGTATTAGATTTAAAGCAAGATCCATTTCAAAGAATTGGACAGACTAATCTGTTGAAACTAGGACGAAGCAGATGCTCTTCTGATCTATGAAGGATCTTGTCAGATTTTGAATAAGTTATAAAGAATAAGGAAAATAAAAGATACGGAAGATAAAAGACGAAAATAAAAATTTCATCAGACCTCGGTCTCTATTATTACGGATGCTTACTCGAAGCCCTCGAGGGTGAGTCCGTCTGCTCCGTCAACAGAAAATCCTCCCGCTTGTTCAAAATGTCCTGATCTATACTGCTAGGGGTGCAAACGCTGTCGCGACGGAACAGGCCAATCACTGACTGTACCTTCGGCTGCTCGATCCCACCTGCGACCAAAAGAATTGCTCATCATCGTGAATTGACATTAAACAACAGGATGTTTCGTTTATCTCGCCTATCGGAACCTAAATTCCGCACGAAAGCCTCCGATCGCTATACCAAGCAACTATGATCGACCATTATGCTTGCGGCAAGGATAAACGGAACAACCTGCGAACGGTGCACATAAACGAGAAAGCAGTGCTTGAAAAAGAGAGGTCAAACACAGAAATGTGACTGTTCTCAAAGGCTGAGTTAGAGCACATCAAGAGACCCAAACGAGTTCGTATGGTGTTCTCGGTGTGTGGCGAGCGAGTGCGTGTGTAGATGTGTGTGTGTGTGTGTGTGTCTTTGTGTCTGTGCGAGATTTGCCAAGGGGATTGGGTAACCCAAAGATCGAAGAAAATAACGCATTTCCCACAGACGTCAAGAAAGAAAAAACGGAAAACGACAGGAAATCTGGAAAGATCTGATGCGTGACATTTACATGTTCTCCAACCGGAAGCGGACGTTTATCGCAGTCCGAAGGTATCCCCCGGCTTCGTAAGCTGGCTCGTCTTCAAAAATATGGATCCCCTGTAAAGTAGTGGTCTTTTCACCGTTCACGTACCTGCCATTGGTTAACTAGCCACCGAATCGATACATTTTTAGTTTATTACGACGATGACAGTAGCTGGAAAGTTTATTTAGACGTCGTGTTGTCTTAAGAATTTGTCTTCGAGGCACAGAGAATTATAGTGTAGCAAGAGCACACACTACCGCCGTAGCTTCTATTTGTTTTGTTTATGTGTAAGGAATTACCCGACCCCCGTCGAAAAAATTCACGAAATTCGTTGAAAATAAGCAGTGCTAAATAATTGTTCTACTATAGACACAACCAAAATGTATGGTTTCTATTGGTGTACAGAATTATAAATAAATGTTTTGTAGGGGATTAACACGTTCACCGCCGTGTCTGTGACAGTTCGGAACTTTCGTCGAATGCAACGAGAACGTAATCATTTGTGCACGAACGTTAACTTTCCAGTTTAAATTTTAATAAATCCACTGTAATTTCGCGAGACTCTGGCGGACGTTCATTCGGCGGTGATCGTGTTAACGGTGTAGATCGTCTAACTGTATGATGTCAGCCAATGAAATCAGTGTACTGTTGCTACTTTATCTCTGCTGCCATTTGGTCCTACGGCGCAATGGAGTGTTAAGAATGGAGCATATTAGGCATTGTTCTGGTAATCTCACCTAAGAAGGTAGCTGAGGGGGAACTATACGCTAGATACTCTTTGTTGGAACACCAAGCAGGGAACTCGTTCTGTTTAACGGGGTGTCCGGAGTCATAATCATCCTCTCTCTTCCACGGTAGCACGCTCTCGGTAGCGGTGGGCGTCGTCACCCTGTAGCTTTCTATAATCCGAAAATGATGATCTCACTAAAGATTTGTAACGGTGTTAACGAAAAGATTTAACATTTCGAGTGAAGCAACTTCAAGGAAATCTTTTATGTTTTTCGTTCAACGAAGCGTCGGTATTCATGCATATCGCGCTAATTCTTTAAACAATTATAGTTCAGAGCAGAGAAATAGAGAAGTGTAGTAGTAGAGAGGACCGTGTGTTGAGACAGAATACTTAACCTCCGAGTGCACAGAGCAGATACAGCGCACCTACCTGCTCGTTCAAAACCGTCTTTTGCTTACTCGATTAACGATCGTTACTCATATTAATCTATTTCATCGTGAATTCTCATATTTCGACTTTAAAAACTCTCGTCGCCACCTGTGTATGCAGTTAAATATGATCAAGTAGACAAGAGTTAGTGACAATAACTTTTATGAGCACGAAATTCGTTTTAACGTACAACCCTGGCGGAAAATATTCAATCGGAATTGTGAATATAACTTGTTGGAAGAATTATTTCACTAATGATTAAAAACAGAAAATATATAGATAGAAGAAACATACGAATAAAATAGTGCATGTCCTCTGTGAACAGTATAAAATAATCGAAGAAGCGTTACAGTATATATATATATCGAAACCTTTTAATCAAAATAAAGAAAGTCAAGAAAGCTTGAATTCTCATTGACTGCTCGAAACGAGCAAACGTACTTATTACTTGCATTAACATTTTCTTCACATACGACAACTTTCCAACGAAAATATTTTCGTCAGATGATAGACCAGCTCCGCCAGAGGTGTACAAATTTCACCGCAAACTACATTCAGTTCACCGTCCGACTACCGGATTATCCAGCAAATGTCCGATTAAATTAAGCTAGAAGAAGAGTGCGGTATTCGCTGATGAAAGGAACCGTACCATCGCATCCGAGCTTCATGTCCGGGTCGTCCGTGTTAATGGTGTCCATAGAAGTAGTCGTGGTTGCGCCGTGATGGGCCTCCGCGTTCACGTTGGACGAGTCTATGGAAATCAAGCGATAAGTTATTTGCCGGTGAATCGCCAGGGAAATTAGTTCCCTAACTCTTCGCTCATTGAAAGAAGACTTTAACGAGTACGGGCTAATCATCGCGGACCTGATTCCTCAAAGGCGCCGAGAAAATTTCGCCGGGAAGTTCGCCGGTCTAATGAAACATGGAACTTCAGACCGGCGTATCACGACCCGGCGGGGGGCGGGGGAGGGAGAAAAAAAGGATCGAATTCTTACCGGAAGTGCGAGCCGTGAAAGTTATCGCGGAGTCCCAGTCCTCCTTGCTGGACGGCTTCGAGGTGTCCCCGTTCTCCAGCTCGTACAGCACGCCGTTTATGTAATCTGCGACGAATTCAGATTCACGTATTCAAACTGGAACTTCCGTCCATGCCCCCATCTATTTTTTTGCCGTCGATAGTCTTCCCCGAACTTACCCTGGGTGAACAACTTCGTCGAGCCGTTCTGTTGGAACTCCGGGAAACTAACGTGATTCTGCTTGCCGTCCTACGAGAAACAGAAGTTTTAATTGCCGGGAAAAAATGCCTCTATATGCTAGCTCCTCGACGAATATTCTCTTTGAATACGAAGGACGAGGGCTGCGGACTTTATGCATTCGTGACGCGAACGAGTGCGTGAAATATGAAGAGGCGAACGTTTCCGACGAATTTTAAGGCACCGTTAACGGCCGTCTCCTCAATTCATTCGCATTAGCGGAGATACGTCGCGTATAAAGTCCTCCGTTCGGATTAGATGAAATCGATAGATTGTTTTGTGGATTCGCGACAGTCGCGCGAGTACGTGAAATACGAAACCGGGAAGATTTTCGATGTGAAACGAAAGATAGTGTCGTATTCTGCTCAGTTATTCAGACGTAGAAGAATTGAATTTCTAGTCGACAGCTTCTAGTCTCGTTGCTGCTTCAGAAAATGTCGATCTCGCATAAAAATCCGCAGTTTAGTGGCGATCAATAGACTGCGGATTTTGCACATTTATGAGAGGAACCGACTACATACATACGCGAAACAGAAAACAATAAAAGCATCGTATTATTCATTTTCAAATAATCGACGTTATTAATAGGAGACGTTAATTGTAACGTAATTTCCATATTATAACAACTGACGGAGAAAATGTTTGCTTCGCATAAAAGCCCACAGTCTTATTGAATCGCGCTAAGGTTCTCCTATGGTAGAATAGAATTCACGTGCATCGTGGCAAAGGACTATACACATATTTCTAAGAGTTGGTATTCGTCGAGTCGATCGAAAATAAATCAGCGATCGAGTGAATCGACGTTCACCGTCAAAGTGCATTGAATACGATGAATAGTGGTTCGGTACTCACTTTGAGCAACTTCTTACTGCGCTTGTGACGATGCTTGTGCTCACCCATCATCCGTCGTATGTTCATGTGCATTTTGTAATTGACTTGGGTCGATAGATCGCGATCGTTCACCGCGTGTCGGCTGTAGCTCAGCCGTCGATGCTGGGAGAATTTTATTTCATCACTCAGGAACTTGTTTCCATCCCCCTTTTTCTTTATTTTTATATAGCGGTTCTGAAATAGGTAGCTAAACTTTAGGAGTGCATGGTTCTTTGGCAAGACCCTCGTTCACAACACCGTACGACTACAATTCTTATATTCGTTTTATTTTTTTTTTCTCTCTCTCTCTCTTTCTCTCTTTCGCTCTCACGAACGAGCACCCAAAAGTTCAGCCACTTACTTGAGAATCACCCTGTAGAAGCGGTAATAAAGGGTAGAAAAAAAGGAACGTTTGGAACTCGAGGGCAGCTTCCTTTGCTCCTTAGTGCAAGCGAAAGCGTGAAGATCCGCCGGGAACTCTGAATCGTCAATTCCACCCGCCATTCTCGTTTCGAAACAATCAATTCCAGCGCAGAAGTTTCGCCCTCGATCATCCCCGCTCTCGAACCCTCCCGCGGCGAACATTGACAGTTCAAAATTCCCGGCCTGGTGGACGCGATTTGCATCCCCGACGGCGGAGGGTTGAAACTCGCGTCGCTCTTTTCTGTTTTCATCTGAACACGCGACACGGGGTCGAGAGGGGGGCGGCGGGGGAGGGCCGAAAATTTTTCAGCGGGTACACGATCGTTTCCCGAGCATCTCCCCCGCCGTCAGCAAAGTTTTCAGGGCCGCGAGCATATATGTAAATCGTCGTCAGCAAGGAGGGTGTCTTACCCTCTTGTAAGGCTTGCAAAGTTCTTCGGCCAATAGATGGTGGATCCTGGCGTCGGTCAGGTCCTTCTTGGAAGGGTAGTACTCCACCTCTTGAGGATCAATATTCCAGCCCGCTTCAAGCTGGCTGCAACTCGGACTGGAAGGAGAAAGAATGAGACTGCATTTTATGACGGGCTGCCACTTCGAGATCGATACCGTGCCTCGAGAAGGGTTCGCCGTTCAATCGAGATACAATGCAGACTTATCTTCGGCTACGATTCTCCTGCGCCGTCGACACCGGCTCGGAGCCACCGGTACTTTCCAGCCCTAAACTACTTTCTGGGCCATCAACGTCGCGGACAGTGATGCTGGGCTTATTCGACGTGACGGCTCTCGAGATAACATGGTTAGGACCTTTTCTCGATACGACGCGGGAACACATGGCTGATCAATAATCTTCGAACCGCGGTGACTCAGAAAATTAAACACACGTTGCCCCCGATCCCCTTCCTCACCCTCGTCCGCGAAGATAATTGCGCGGGAGATCCTTTCGCGGTTCTCGTATATATACAGGGTGATTCCTTAACTTCTTAATTTAACACTAAACCTACCAAGCAGTAATACCAACTGGCATGTACTGCTTCACAAAAGTGAGAAAACCGAATTTATTTAGAACTTGTAATAATATAATATATATTGTAATAATATATGCTTCAATAATATAACTTATTCAAGCGTTCTCCACGAACGGAACTTTGCAGAATTGCAAAATAAGAAAGCGGTCACTTTGACCGCGGCAGGTTTAGTGTTAAAATTTAACCACACATTTTTTCGAGCAATTCTCTTTTATAAAAATGTCTCCAACAAGAGTTTTTCGATCTCCTGTCGGCCACACGATGAAATATTGAATTTTAAGAAACCTATATTTTTTGTTTCAAACGGCATCGTATAGTTTTTAGTGCATATTATCGCAGTTTACCTCAAGACGAATTCAACGAATTGGTACAGCATTCAAAAAATCGGCTTCCTTTGGTTATCGATTTTGGGAGTTCCATTCTTTGCGAACATTTGCAGAAAATTTCATGCAAATATTCGCACGATTGCAGAAGTTGTAAGAAGTAACCGAGTCCATCATCTCGAACTTCCAAGTCGTTTATCTTCAAACCGAATTTTCGAGAACGGTTTACATCGTAACTCTTGGACAGATGAATGCTTCAACTCGCTATTTTACATGGAGATGTAAAATCCGATTCTTCACAGACTGGAACTCGATCGTCGGTATCGAATCGTTCGAAATGATTTATAAATTAACCATTGAATTTGCTCAACGAGTTCCACACTCCGGCTTCGAGTATAATGCTTTTAAATAGATTATTGTTGGAACATTGAACATTGTTACGGAGTAACTATCCGAAAGCAGTTATCTCTGTAGAGATTGCTCATCTCATTTAGCCTTCAGACAGTTCCTTCATAACAATGTTTAATGTTTCGACAACTATTTCCCATCAAATTTCCCGTAACGGAGCAATCTAATTCGTACAGAACCATTGATTTTAGTTATCCAATACAGCCGTATCCTCTCAAAATCCTCTAAGATCAGCTTATAAAAGTTCAACTCATATTAAAAATGAATATACGGGCGCAACTCGTTAGAATTTGAAGTTTCCAGATTAATAAAAAGCACGTACAGTGTGACTGGCATTAATACCTGTACACCTTTCAAAATAGAATAACTTTTTTAAAAATCTACCAAATAACTTGTATTTTGTCGGGATGTTAGAGAGACTAGTCTACTGTTTCTACCCACGATTCTCTTTTTTTTTTAAATTGCATCTGGATCGAATGAAAAACGAAATAAGAATCTCGCGTTTTAAATTATAAACAACGCGTTTCCTTTCGAAGTTATCCTCTTTCAAAAGGTGTCCTAATATTAATGCAAGACACGTTTATTATTTATTCTCCACTCAAAGCACGTTGAATAAGCTGTTACTGTCGTATTCAACGTTCGTCTATAATTTTTTAACAGTACTTTCAAGCATCGCATTCCCAACAGCGTCATTACATTGAACGTAGGAAAGATATTTTTCGATATCTCGAGAGTATCCAATGGCTCGGCCAATCAATTCCAATCAGAAGATTGAAGCGAATACGACCCTAGTTCGATTAGACGCGGTTCAGTCGAATCCCGTCTCCCGTTAATTAAAACTTTCTTTACAATTAATATTTCTCTCCAATGGTGCGCGCACCTGTTGTCTCAAAGGAACACGCTCCGGAAGGAGCATTTGTTATTGTGAAAATAAGCAGGTCAAGTATGAACGAGATAACTTCTTGTTCGGTTCGTATTGAATTGTAACCGTGGTCGTGGGATGGGGGGTGGCCGGAGGGACGGGGCGGTCGAGAATAGGGGCACGGGAAGGGCGAAAAAGGAGAAATCATACCTTCCATTGAAGTGTCCCGTGTTGCTATAGTTCCGGAATATCGCGGACATGCTCTCCGTTCCGCTGATATTACCGATCGTGGACGCGTTCCTCCTAATGTAATCCAGCGCGTCTTTCATCGCGAGCTTCGAGTACGTTTCCAATATTTTCGGCTCCGCGCCGTAATGATCCCGCACCAAATAAGGTCGAATGAACTTGTTATCAAACCGTTTGAACCTAGAAAACACCACAACGCCGGAAAATAACGAGACACGTCGCAACACCGCGAGATAGAACGCGAACACAAACTGTCGTAATGAACGTAGCGTCTCAGAGTTTTATATAAATAATATAGATGTCATTTGATCGGTAACAAGCTGGTACAATAAAGTCCCCAAGTGGGATTGCAAAGAGTTTAATATATCGATTTAAACGAAATCCTCAAGTGTAAGAATAGTATAGCAACTTTTTTTTTTTAATTTTTCACTATTGACATTTGCACGATAATCCGTATCTATTGTTCTTGATTTTTGGAGATGTTTGAAAAATGCAAGAGGATTGTTAAAATTCTCTAGGAGACAGATTATAGCAGCTCTGCTGGCTAGATAATTCCAGAAGACTGGAATTCTGAGATATTAAAGATATATATATATATATAATTCCAGAAAATCTAGAAGTTCCAGAAAAGTTTCAGCATTTCCAGAAAAGTTCCAGAAGTTCCAGGACAGTTTCAGAAGTTCTAGAATTTCCAAAAAAGTTCCAGAAGTTCCAGAAGTTCCAGAAAATGTTCCAGAAGTACCGGAATTTTCAAAAACGTTCCAGAAGTTCCAGAAAGAACTGCATAAACTATCTTTAATTATCTTTTTGGACCTTTCCGAAGGGGCATTAAACAATTACTGAGTGGGCTACTTGCATGGTTTCACATTTTTCTCTCGCAAAAATTGTGTATCTATGTCCAACGTTCCATTATTTTATATTCTACTTGAACCGTCAGAGTAGTAGACCAATTGTGACCAATTGCTGTGTCTTTGGTTTGTTTTCGGGCACATTTAACTTCATATTAATCGAATAATCTTTCCACTAAAAAAATAAACAAAATAAAAGAATACAAAAATTTAATACGTCTCAATCGATAAATATGAAGTTAATAATGCCCGAAAACAAGCCAAAGACACAGCAATTGATCACCCCAAAGTAACCGGCTCCACTACCCTGCTCGCGAATAATTGCGTTCGAGTTGCCGATAGGTGATCTACGAAATCCTGCGAGTGTAAAGTGTTGAATACAAATGAGACCGAATTTTTCGACACTCGCAGAAGCTCGTTGATTGCATCCTTTTTTACCTGTAGCATCTCGCGTTACCTGTTACTGGCGGGCATCGATTATCCCGCCGTGTCGTACACAGGATTTTTAAAACGCAGTACCGTGAGCAATTACGTATTCATTAGAGCACAGAAGAGCTATGTACTTGTCTCGGAGGTGGTAGTTCCCGTGCTTCCCCAAAATGTCCTCGATCGCGGCCATAGCGTGATCCATTATCTGAAAACGGAAACGTCATTTCCTCTCTCTCTCTCGCTCTCTTTCTCTCTTTTTCTCTTTCTCTCTCACACTTTCTCACTCGCTCTCTGTCCGCAGCTTTTTAACTGGTCGTTTTTTTTTCCACGCCCGGCGAGAACGGTGCAGGCCAGACCGCGGTCGCTTATTATATCCGTTATCTGGCGTGATATATGCTAAGAGTATCAACCACGAAACGACTCGGTTAATTTACTGGGCCATTGTTCTTGTTTTGACACGTTCATTTGCGAACGGGCCGCGGCCGAGCTTGAAAATCAATGCGATCCTCGTGCACACGCGGACGGCCAACGATTATTGATTCCCCCGTATCGCGGCCCGGCTATTCTTTTACAATATTTACATTAACGACACACGAGGATGTGGCCGGCAGCCGCGTCTCTATAATTTATAACGCGGGCACCCTCTCCCCCCTCCCCCCGAACCTCTTGACCGCTCCACCTTCCATCGTCTAGTATTTTTATTAACCGATCGATCCCCCGTTCCGATACAACGAATTGTTTTTCAACAAAAGTGAAGCCTCGCACGCACCCTCTCGTGGATCCTCTCGTTCATCGTCGGCTTCTTCCTCTCGGCCCTCTTCACGTTCAGGATCTTCACCAGCGGCTTGATCGTGATACCCTGAAAACGGTAGGGCTGGTCAGTTTCTCGTGCTCGACTCGTTACCCGGTAACTCGCTACGCGGCACAGGATTCATTCAGACTACTACTGTGTATTTGAACAGCTGCGACGCGGTCGAGCCTGGAGTCGCTCGGGAACACGGGGACGTAGGCTGTACCTGAGAACCGGAGAATGTGTGCGTTTCGTCGGCGGAGATGTATGATTGTCGGATATTTCCGTAAGGCGAGAAGAATTAGGGGAGATGAATATAGAGGTGGCCTGAAGAAGCTCGCGACGAGTGTCTACTTGAATGAAAAGATTCGTGGGTGGATCCCTAAGTAGCCGGGCAAGGCAGGAGTGGCTTAATTCAGTGCCTAACGAGCGCTAAACGACTCTACGTGTCGTCTCATAAAAATTACAAGATTCAATTGATTCAGTTCTTCGTTAAGCCGTTTCCCATGAAAGCGTATTCTCGACTATGCGATTTTTAGCGCCAAGTATCCGGTCTCGTGGATTAGTACTTGGGAACTGAAGAAACTGGGTGCTTGTCTATGTCAAGGTCATTTTAATAGCATAGTACGTTAATAGTTATATTAATATACTATAGTAATATACAGGGTGTCCCAAAAATGTCTTGTAATCTGGAAATGGCGGGTTCCTCGGATCATTTGAAGCAACTTCTTCCTTTACAAAAATTTTCTCCGAGGCACCGTTAACGAGTTATTAACGAAAAACAGTGA